CCTTGGGCGCAATGCCCACCTCTCCTATACCCTTTTGCAGGGTGACACCACTTTTGGCCACCTCTTCTCCATCAACCGGGAGAATGGCACCCTCTACCTGCTCACCTCCCTGGACCATGAGGACCAGGTGGAGTTCAACATGATGGTGCAGATCCAGGACGGCGGCTTTCCGCCTCTGGCCACTAATGTCTCAGTCAGTGTGTTTGTCACTGACCTCAATGACAATGCCCCAACGGTGCTGTACCCTCACCCCAACACCACCACCACCTACACCGATGTAGTGGCACCAGGCACTCCTGCTGGCCACATGGTCACCAAGGTGGTGGCGGTGGATGCGGATGCAGGGTACAATGCCTGGATCTCCTATACCCTGTTGCAGGCCACTGACCCCAGTCTCTTCTCGGTTGGGCTGCACAACGGGGAGATCTTCACGGCCCGCCAGCTCCGTGAGGATGACGCTCCTGAGCACACCTTAGTCATCCTGCTGAAAGACCATGGGGAGCCTGTGCTGTCCACCAGTGCCACCATCTCCATCTCTGTGGCTGAGATGGTCAAGGAGGTGCTCACTGACCTCACTGATGTGGCACCTGCCAATGATCCCAGGAGACATGTGACTTTCTATCTCATCCTGGCTGTGATTTTGGTGTCAGCAGCCTTCTTCATTACCATGTTGTCCGTGGGCATCTTCAAGTGCTACAAGTGGAGGCAGTCAAGGGAGCTGTACAACAGCTCCAGGAGTACCACATACAGGACACCAGGGCCCTTCCACCACATTGATGCCGTGAGGGGTGGCTTCACGCCACCCAGCTTCTACCACCAGGTCTATCTCACCACAGACTCTCGCCAGAGTGATCTCCTATGCAAAAAGCCCTTCACTTCCAGCCCCCTGGGGAGCCGCCAGGGCACCATAAGGAATGGTGAGCCAGGGCTGTACCACCAGATTGTGGGCACTGCCAGCCGGCTCCCCACACCTGCTGAGGTAATGTAGCTCCCTCCTTGGCGTGTCCCAGCGCTGGGCAGAGCCATGGTTTGTTTGTGCCGTGCGCGTGTGGTTGCGTGTTGGGCTTGGGAGGGACATCCAGTCGTGCCACGCCCCTAAAGAGTTCAGCTACAGCTGAACAGGTGTTCTTTGGAGTCAAATGAGCCATCCTGAGGGCTGATGACTTTTGCACTGATGAGCAGGATCAAGTGTGTCAGTTTGCTCATGTTGACAGTTGTACGTCTTTTTGACGCAGTTTTGGGTACGCCTTGCATGAGTAACTGGTGGAGGCTGAGGTCAGCGTGAAACCACTTGTTAATCCTTGGCACGAAGTTTGTTGTTAATGGTATTTCCTTCCCTTTGCAAAAGGAGAGCCAAGGGGAACACTTGCACTGCGGGGGAGCGTAATCTCTGTGCGTCGTGACTTGGTGGGGCTGCAGAGCTGGTGTGCAGATGGGGCTGGGAGCTGGGGATCGGTGTGTTGCCTCTCACAGTGCAGCATGCCAAGCTGAAGGATGATGATGGTTCCTCTGACAGACTGTGGTCACAGAGCAGTCCCTTCTATCAGTGCCGTTCCTCATGTTTGACTCCTGAATGGTTCTGGTTTTATTTCCATGGAAGTTCTGTTCTGATGTTCACTTTGGGGGAGGGGGTGGGATGCCGGACTGCCCTCTTGCTTGCAGGGTTCTGCTGAGCTGGACTTTGGCTCTGAGCAGAGTGGTGAGTCCTCCTCTCAGATGTTGTTCAAAAACCCTATTACAAGCTCTGCATGATTCGTAATATGCTGTCTCTGGGTGATGTCTGATGTCCTGACTGCAGGCTGGAAGGCGTTTGCGCATGGCAGCAGCTTCTGTGCTTCTCCCCCGATGAGAATTCTGCTGCTTAATTAGAAAGCTTTCAATTACAGGAATGCTTAAATCTTCAGAGGTGAGGCCAGGTATTGGATCCAGTGGAGGGGGAGTGTGGATCTGGTGGATTTCCAAGGTCGTTGGTGCCAGTAATTTGTCCTTCCGGGGATGCAGTGGGTAGGAGTGACTGGTTCCTCAGAGCAGAAGGAAGTGAGGTGCAGCGGAAGCTGTTCATGGGTGTGAGGCTGTGTGTGCTGCCTGCTCACTGTGGCCAAATCACAGATGGAGGCAGAAACCTTTCAGAATTATTTTATGCCTTTTTATTTTTTCCCCTGCTTGCGTCACTGCTCAGACTCAGCTCTTCTGATTTGTGGCAGGTGAGAATGGCTGCAGCAGCTGCAGGAGCAAGTGTTCCTCTGCATTGTGTGGGCTGTGCTGTGGCTGGGGACAGGGATGTCCCCTCCACCTAAATGTCCCGATGCCTTTGGGGGTGAGGGCAATAAATTATTTGAGAGGGGGGGTGGCAGGCAGCAAGCCTGAGCCCCAGCCATGACTCCTTCCTACCCCCCAGTACAGCACTGGAAAGGCACTGGCAGTGAGAAATCAGCTGGGCTGGCTCTGGGCCCTGAACTTTCAGTCTCTGTGGTGACAATGGACTGTGTCAAGCCTGCAAATGCTTTACACCTCCTTGCTCTGTGGGACACAGCCAGCCTCCAAAAGGGATGCAGGGGGAAGGGTGCTGGCCCAGTCCCTAGCAGGTGGTGTGTCCTGCTATAGGGGATCCTACCCTGCAGGATCTCCAGTGATCCCTGGGTTGTCTGGCTTGGTGCCTTTTCACAGAGGCTGTGGTGCCTTTTCTCTGAGCCTGTAGAATAAGGAGCATCTCCTTCTCCATCCCAGACATCCCATACCCTTCCTGCCTTGTCCTACTGTCCCCATCCCAAGCTTTAACAGGCCCAAACAGCAGCAGGATCCCTGTGTAAAGCCCTTGCTCCAGGTCCTTGGTGCCCGAGCCATCTCAGAGCACTGAGTGATTTCTCTCAGGCTATGTGGGCTTTGCAGGGGCTTCTGCTGAGGCACTGCAGCAGCACCAAACCCATTCCCAGGGGTGCAGCACCCTGTATTGCCAGTGGAATGCTCTGTCACCCAGCTGTACTGTCTGGGGCTCAGCCTGGGATGGGGACAGGGCACATTCCAGAGCCAAGGTTACTGTGACAGCTTCCTGCTGGTGGCACCGTCAGGAGCCCTGGGGAAATGAGTATGGACAAGAAGGAATTGGTCTCTGTGTGCTGGGGAATCCCTTGTCCGGTGTTTTTCTGCATTGTCTCTTTAAGGACGCCTTCCCCCCTCCTCTGGAGCCGGCGGTAGGAGGGACCCGGGCAGTGTTCTCACCATTCATAAGGTTCCTCCCGGAGTCTCTCCCTGACTGGCAGCAGGGTGGTCCCGCCTCCCGGCTCTTAGAATAGGCAGGGAGGTGCTGCAGACGGGAGGGAGGACCCTGGACTGCAGCACCTTTACCGTCCCTGCTCTCGGCAGAAGGATGCTGTCCCCATCACCGTCCCCCTTGCCGGGCACGGGTGCCCTCAGCCTCTCCCACCTATTCCCCACGTCCCTCTGGTGCCCAGGTGGAGGGGGGGGGGGTCAGGCAGGATCCCAGGCAGGCACTGATCCCTGTCTGCCACACCACCGCAGACCCCAGCCCCAGGGTCTGTGTGCACCCAAGGGAGGGGCAGGGTGGCCTTCAGTGCACCAAGGACAGAAGGCAGACAGGGCTTACAAAAGCATGGAGTGACAGGACAAGCGGGAATGGTTTTAAACTGACAGAAGGTTTAGATTAGATAAGAGGTATAAAAATTCCTCCCTGTGAGGGTGGTGAGGCACTGGTACAGGCTGCTTAGAGAAGCTGTGGCTGCCGCATCCCTGGAGGTGTTCAAGGCTGGGCTGGATTGAACTCTGAGCAACCTGGTCTAGTGCAAGGTGTCCCTGCCCACGGCAGGAGGTCAGAATGAGATTATTTATAAGGTCCCTTCCAACCTGGGCTATTCTGTGACTCTGACCGCACAAGGCTTCTGCAGGGATGTGAACTGAGCTAAAAGTCTGCAGCTTGCCAATATCGTCTGTGACAGAGAGAGCAGGAAATTACTGTGCTCCCCCCTGCTTCTGCCCTCAGGAGACTGACTGCAAAGCTGTACCTGCCACTGAGTATCAGTGTGTGTGTCTGCCAGGTGGAAGGCTTGGGCTTCCTTCCTAGTCTGAGATCCTGACCTGGTGTGATCCTGTGGTGATCTAGTGGCTTTATTGTCTGACCCTGTGTGTTTGCAGTGATTTGGGTACTGTGAAGGCTAGCTAACCCCTTCCTTGCCCCAGGGTGAGGAAGTGGCTTCCAGTCAGGTGTGCATTGGGAGTAATTGTATTTTGGCTTTGAATGGCTCACCTGCCTTTGCTTTTGCACCTTCAGCCAGCCACTCCCAGGGTGGGCTGGCAGGGGTGGGTGTCCCCATCACAGTGCAAGGTCTGCTGGCCGGTGGTGGTACCGGTGGCAGTGATGCCTCACTCAGAGAGGCAATCATGGGGTGCAGGCAGCAGCCAAAGCAGTGGCTGAGGGGGAGAAGAGGGGTGAGAGAAGAGCCCCTGGCACCTCGGGGCTCTAACAAGCACCTTTTCATTGGGCATGAAAAGTCCTTTGGCTTGCGTTCATGACAGCTGCCCTTTGTCTGTGGGCATGATGTGAAGCCACCATTGTGGAGGGGGAGCACACAGGGAGGGCTTGTACCTTGCTTCCAGGCTGCCAGGACGTGCAGTTTCCCTGTGAACGCAAAGCGAGCTGTCGGAGCAAGTGAGTCAGGCTGGCAGAGGGGAGGCCGGGGGTGGCAGCCCCGCTGTTGCCGGCTCAGGCCCCTGCTTCCCGCACCTCCGGAGCCACTGCTGGCCGAGAGGGGATGGAGCTCTCGGCCAATTGGGCGCTGATCTGAAGCGAGGGGGGGAAATCTGCTTCTCCCCCACCCCCCCCCTCCCACCTCCGCGCTGGGGCTGTGATTCAGTTCCCCTCCCCCAGCCCACCCCCTCTGCTTGGAGGCTGACAGTTGGAGCCGCAGCCTGCCGGAGCCCCGGAGCTGTTTTCTAAGCCGTGCAAGAGAGACTCAGGGATTTATTCGCAGTTCCTCAGTGCCTGCTGTGTCCCGGGCCGGATGCGCACGGACATGGAGAGTGCCAGCCTCCAGCGACCCGCCTGGAAATGGCAAGTACTGAGTTTGTTTTTGCTCTGCGGCTGGGGCTGGGTCTCCGGGCAGATCCACTACTCGGTAGTTGAGGAGTCAGAGTTGGGAACCGTGGTGGGGAACGTGGCCCAGGACCTGGGCTTGAAGGTGGAGGAGCTGCCAGGTCGCAGGCTGCGCCTGGGCTCAGAGGAGAGCTTGCGCTACTTCGCCGTGCGCCTGGACAGCGGCGCGCTGGTGGTGAGCCAGTGGCTGGACCGCGAGCGTCTGTGCGGAGCAGCTGCCAGCTGTGTGCTGTCGGTGCAGGTGGTGACAGAGAACCCCCTGCAGCTCTTCCGCCTGGAAGTGGAGATCCTGGATCTGAATGACAACTCCCCGAGCTTCCCCACCGCTCACCGCACCCTGCGCATTGCCGAGTCTGCCACGGTGGCTGCACGCTTCCCTCTGGAGAGCGCGCAGGACCCCGACGTGGGCACTAATGCTGTGAGCTCCTACCGGCTGAGCCCCAACTCCCACTTCTCCCTGGATGTCAAGCAGCAGCCGGATGGCAAACTCTTCCCGGAGCTAGTGCTGGAGCGTGCCCTGGACCGGGAAGAGCAGCCAAAGGTGCAGCTGGTGCTGACGGCCGTGGACGGGGGAAGCCCAGCGCGCTCGGGCACGGCACAGATAACGGTCCAGGTCCTGGATGTCAATGACAATGCACCCGCCTTTGACCACACCACATACAGGGTGAAAGTCCCGGAGAACACACCTGTGGGGGCTGTGCTCCTCCAGGTCAATGCGTCTGACCCCGATGAGGGTCCCAATGGGGAGACACAGTACTCCTTCGGGGTTCACACCTCCGACTCAGTGCGGAGGCTCTTTGCCCTGGATCCCCGCTCCGGCGAGGTCCGGGTGAGCGGGGCCCTGGACTTTGAGGAATCGCGTTTCTATGAGATCTATGTGCGAGCCCACGATGGAGGGGTACCTGAGATGGAGGGCAATTGTGTGCTGCAGGTTCAAGTGGAGGATGCCAATGACAACCCCCCGGAGGTGCTGCTCACCTCCCTGTTGAATCCGGTGCCAGAAGACACCCCACCGGAGACTGTTGTGGGGCTCTTCAATGTACGGGACCGAGACTCGGGGGCCAATGGGGATGTGAGTTTGGAGATCTCCCCCGATGTGCCTTTTGCCATCAGGTCCCTTCAGAACCACTTCTCCCTGGTCACCCAGAAGAGCCTGGACCGAGAGTCTACCTCACAGTACGCAGTGGAGCTGATTGCCCAGGATGGTGGTTCTCCTGCCCTCACCACCACACTCACGCTGCTCCTCAATATATCTGATGTGAATGACAACCCCCCACGCTTCTCACAGCCCTCCTACGATGCCTTTCTCCAGGAGAACAACCCGCCTGGCTCCCTGCTGTGCACCGTCTCTGCCACAGATCCTGACGATGGGGTTAATTCCCGGCTTGTTTACTCCATAGAGAGTGGCCAAGTGCAGGATGCCCCCATCTCTTCCTTTGTCCACATCAACCCTGACAATGGAAATCTCTATGCTCAGCGCACCTTCGACTTCGAGCTGCTGCAAGTTCTGCCAGTGTCTGTGGTCGTGAGGGACTCGGGGTCCCCCCCTCTCTATGCCAATGTTACCGTCTACATCTTTGTGCTGGACCAGAATGACCACCCCCCCACCATCCTGCACCCTGCCAGTGACAGCGATGTGCCGGCACCCCAGAGGGTCCCACTGTCTGCCCCACCGGGCTACCTGGTGGCCAAGGTGACAGCAGTGGATGCAGATGCTGGGCACAATGCCTGGCTCTCGTACCGACTGTTGCCGCAGTCCACCGACCCCTCCTTGTTCCATGTGTCGCTGTACACCGGGGAGGTGCGGACGGCGCGGGCCTTCCAGGACAGCGACATGGCAGTGCAGCAGCTCGTTGTCCTGGTGACAGACAACGGTGACCCTCCGCTCTCCACCACTGCCACCATCACTGTGGCCCTGGAGGAGGCACCCCTGGAAGAAAGCTTCAAGCCTCAGGATTTCCTGGCTGGTGCCAAGGAGAAGCCGGACCTGACCTTCTACCTGATCATCGCTCTGGCAGCAATTAGCACAGTGGCACTGGCCACCGTCACCCTCCTGGCCGCCCGGTGCCTACGGCGCAGGGGCCGTGCCGCCGTCTCACCCTACTGCTGCTGCTGGCTCAGCGAGTCGCCCTCCCGGGACTTCTGCAAGCACTCCAGCCCCAAGCTCCAGCTCAGCTCCGACGGCACCCTTAAGTACATGGAGGTCACGCTGCGACCCACCGACTCCCCGTCCCAGTGCTACAGCACCTGCTTCTCCCCCGGCTCCGAGCGGAGCGACTTCACCTTCCTGCGGCCCTGCCCAACCCCCGCCACCCTGCCGAGGGAAAGCGGGGCTTTCCTGCCCGCCGCCGGCACGCTGCGGGACCGCGGCCAGGTGAGCGGCAATGCCGGGGCGGGTCCGGCGGTGCCGGGCGCTCCGACGGCGCGGTCCCCGCGGGGGGCGCG